TGGAGGGAAGGCCTCTCTCTCTGTCTCTACCTCTCACTGTCTGTAACTCTACCTCTCAAATAAATAAATAAAAAACTTAAAAAAAAAAAAAAAAACCACGATGCTAGTTGGGACACCCACATCCCATATTGGTTTGCTTATGTCTGAGTCTTGGCTTGACTCTTCATTCTGGATTCCTACTAATGTGTACCCTTGAAGGCAGCAGGTAATGGTTCAAGTACGTGTGTCTCTGCCACCGACATAGGAGACCTGGACTGAAGCTTCTAGTTTCAGCCTGGCCTAGTCCCAGCCATTGCTAGCATTTGGGTGCTGAATCAGCAAATGGAAACAATGCTTTCTCTCTGCCTCTGAGGTAAGTAAGTAAATAAATAACCTTAAAAATATAGAAAATGTTCAGAACATTAGAATGAACAAGGATTTTTTTTATCAGACCCCAAAATATAGGGGGAAAAAAAGCATAAGAAAGACAAATGGGATTTCATCAAACTAAAAATGTTCTTCACATTAAAGGGAACAAACAATCCAAGTGAAAACATAACCTACAGAATGGGAAAAATATTGCTAACTATATATCTGACAAGCAGTTAATAATTAGAATATACCTGCCAGAGTTTGAATATGATCCAGCTCCCAAATTCATACAGGATTTAAAACCCCACAGTCACAAGTTAATGGTACCAAAAGTGTAGAAACTTAGTGTAATCATGGTGTTTGAGACTAGGGCCCTGTAGGAAATACTCAGTTAATAAGGAGTGTATGTTCAGAAAGTAGTTCTTGAAAGAGGGTTGATTATAGAAGTGTGAGTTGGACCCGGCCACTCTCTGCTTTCTAGTGCTCCATGTGATCTTTCTACTGCCCATCATTACTGCACTCAACAGAGGCCAAACCAATTGGACCATGCAATCTTGAACTCCCAAAACCATGTGTCAAAACTTTCCTTCCTTCAGAAGTAGCTTGCCTTAGGTATTTCATTGTAGTAAAAAAAAAAAAAAAAAAAAAAAAAAAGCCTGATTTTATAGTGGGTAATAGATCTACTTGACATTTTTTCCAAAGGAAAACAAATGCTCAGCATCACTAGCCGGCAAACTAACTCTAATGTTCACATGGGATAGCTAAATCAATACCATTAAAGACATAGGACAAAGTTGGAGGAATCACACTTCCCAAGTTCAAGACTTTTATAAAGCTACAATACTCAACACATTGTGCTACTTGAACAATGATAAACATATAAACAAACTATTCTGAAAAAGAGCAGACAATTCAAAATTGACTCACATATGTACAGAGAACTGATTTTTAACAAAGGTGCAAGAAAATTCAGTGAAGAAGACAATATTTTTTCAAAAAATCATAGTACAAGTGAATATCCATAGGCAAAAAATGAACTTTAATTCTCACCCTGTACCATACACAAACATTAACTGAAAATCAAACAATCTAACTGCAAAACCTAAAAAAGAAAACCTCTTTGATCTTCGATTAAGTTAACATTTCTTAGAAATAAGAGCAAAATCACAATCCACCAAGAAACAGTTTGATAGATTCAACATCATCAAAATTAAAAATTTCTGAGCAAGAATTTGACCCAGCAGTTCAGACACTAGTTGGGATGTGTACATCCCATATCAGAGTGCCCAAGTTCAAGCCCAGGAACTGCGTTCCATTCCAGATTCCTGCCAGTGTGCACCCTGAGCAGCAGTGATACCTAAAGTGATTGGTCCCTGTCGCCCAGGCAGGAGAGTTGTGCTGAGTTCCCAGCCTCCAGCTTCAGCCAGGCCCAAGCCCCAGTTGCTGCAGGCATCTGGGGAGTGAACCAATAGATGGAATCTCTCACTTCATTGTGGGTTTTCCCTCTCTAAGTAAATTCTTTTTTTAAGATTTTATTTATTTATTTGAGCGGTAGACTTACTAACAGAGAAGGAGAGACAGAGATCTATCTGCTGGTTCACTCCTCAAATGGCTGCAACTGTCAGAGCTGAGCCCATCCAAAACCAGGAGACAGGAGTCTCTTCCAGGCCTCCCACGTGGACGTGGGCACAGGGGCCCAAGCATCTGGGCATCTTACACTGCTTTCCCAGGACAAAGCAGAGAGCTGGATTCAAAGAGAAACAGCAGGACACAAACTGGTACCCATATGGATAACGGTGCAACAGGCAGAGGCTTAGGCCACCATGCCACAGTACCAGCCCCTCTCCCTGTCTCAAAAAAAAAAAAAATCTTCTGCTCATCAAAAGACACTATTAATGAAAGTATAAGCCATAGGCTAGGAGAAATCATTTGCATTTAATAATCTAATAAAAGACTCATAGGCAGAATATATAAAGAATTCTCCATACTGAATAATAAGAAAACCAACAACTCATTAAAAGCAAAATATTTGGGTAGTAATTGTGCCAAAGATACAGATTCTAGATAAACACATGAAAAAAATTATCAACATCATTAGTCTTTGAGGAATTGCAGAGTAAAACCCACAGCAAGCTAAAATATTCTCCAAAGACCACACCAGGAACTGACAAGGAAGCAGAGACACTGAGACTCTAATTTAGTGCTAGTAAGATTTTAATATGTGTAGCAGGGGCCCAGGCACTTGAACCATCTTGTGCTGCCTTTCCAGGTACATTAGCAGGAGGCTGGATCAGAAGTGCAGCAGCTGGGGCTTGAATCAGCGCTCATATGGATGCTAGTGTCACAGATGGCTGCTTAACCCACTATGCCACAAGTCCAACCCCAATACTATCTTCTGAGAGACTGAATTTCCTAAAAGGTTAAACATGCACCTACAACATGATTGAACCATTCCACTCCTAAGTACTTAACTAACACAAATGATACCACATGTCCCTACAAAGACTTGTACACAAACATTAATAGCAACTTTATTTATATAAACAAAATCTGGAAACAATAATTGTCCAATAATAACTTAATGTTGACAGTTCCTACTGGTTTAAACCACTATTTATGTATTTCCTCACCTGGGAGAAATTTAGGTAATGGGATAAATCTGGGTTCAACTTAGGAAATTAAATTTATTGGTAAGATAATCAGTTTCCTAAGAATCTGAGGAGTTTTCTGCCTTTAAGTTGTGGGGAGGTGGGGGATGGAAATTCTATCAGAAGAGAAAGAAAGGCAAATAACCCACTAAAGGAGAGATTCAGAAATGCTATCTATTTCCAAATCATTTGCACTTGCGTTAACATTGTTCTTTGGACTATGGTGTAATTCAGTTTAGGTAGCAACAGCTCTTGATCACAGATGCTCCTTTTGCTACAGTCACAATGTCTACCAGAGAGGCCTGATAAACCTAGTAACCATGCCTTCATATGTTGAGTGTTTTGATTTCAAAACAGTTTAAAGAACGCATAAATTCCAAACAGTGTTCAAAGGATCACTGGATATTGGTCACGGAATGATTTCTTCTTAAGTATCTTCAAATCTCTTACCTGTTTAGTTCAAATATTAGATATAACACCAATACAGTTTTACCAAAAAAAGTGAAGATATCAACCAGTATTGTAAACACCTGACCAAGTTAATGCTCTAAGTCAACTTATATTCTACCAGGATATACAACCCATCTACCACTTGCATTCTTTTCTATCCCTTCCTGGACAAGTTTTGTCAGGCTCTTCCCATGCAGAGAGCAGCCTTGAAGAGTGAAACAAGAAAAGCCCATTTGGAAGTAAGTAATAAACCACTTCCAACCCATCACCACACAGAATAAATGGTTGAGATGCTGAGCAAGAAGGAACAGGTATGTAATGCCAGGAAAATTGGGTTGTCACGAATGCCAGGAAGGTACTGGATTGACTTGAAGTAGGTTTCAACAGAGTGGGAAAGCATTTTTTTAAAAACATACACACATGTCTAAGAAAGAGCATAGAACTCCTCTCTAGTACCTCTGCTAGATCCAAATATTAGCAACGAGTCAGCAAAATCTCAAGGTTAAGGTAAAAATTTCTACTCTGGAGGGTAAAGACAAGACACAAGTTGTTATCTTGATTTGCTTTAGTTGTGGGCCTGCCTGGTGGTGTTGGAGCTGGCAGAACTTTGGAGAACACAGGACAACAGCCTGGTGGTACAGATGAGGAATGGGAGGTTAAGGGCCTTGGCTAAAGAGTCCCAACTAGTTAGGAACACAGCCAGGACTGGAAGCTCCATGTCAAGATTCCTGAGCTGCTAAGACCTTTTTTTACTATTCTTTGTGTTGACTTCAGGGGCCATAATTCTATAACAGGGTACCTTGGGCAAATCATTTTTGCATGTTTGTTCTCAACCAAGCTCCACAGTGAAATCAGCTGGGGGCTTTAGAAGTTCTGTTGCCCCAGCCTCTCTCTCTCCCACAGGACTCTGAGTTATCTAGCTGGGGTTGGCCCTAACACAGGGGAGCTAAGATGGAGAAGTCAGCCACAGAATAAGGCATGGTAGGAGCAAGACTCGCTGAAAATTAAGACAAGCATTCGGAGCTATCTCCAATCTGGGCAGGTGCATCTGCTGAAACCCTCTCTCCCCGATGAGTCCTTGTTCCTCTCTTCCTAGCCGGCTCTAGGCCCTCGTAAGCCATCATTCTTGATCCTCTCCCAGCTTCCAGAAATGCACCACGGCAATTAAAATGACCATTAAAATAGAGATCTGGAAACAGATTTCAAAACGTTAAGAAAAAGCTTGGGAAGGAAATCCCCCAATTTGGACAAGCCTCCATAAGCCAGAGGGAAAGGGAGGCTATCTGGCGATAATTCCAGCCAAGAGGATTTGGGCATTTTCCCAGAATTACCCAAGTAATCCTGCGAAGAGCAAATCTATGCAGGCTAAATTATGTACAAACTGCCTAAATCATGGGCTTTAACCACAAGCTTCCTGGCTCTGAGAAGTGTGAAAGCCAAGGACACCACAGGTTATCCTGGGGTTGACTCGACCCTCCCAACCCCTGCCCCATTCCCTAAGCTGCTCCCTCCAGAGTCTTGCCAGTAATAAACCACCAACTGTGAATTACACACCCTCTCGCTAACTGTGAATTAGGCTCCTTCCTTTCAGCCTCGGGACCTAATCACCCACCTAGGAGAACGCCCCAGTTCCTACAGCCTGTCTGGCTGCAGAAAACCCAGGCAGGACTCAGAGGGGGTGTGGTCAGGACCAAGCCTCCTGCACCCGCCAGAGGCACCGCTCCACCACAGAGGCACTGGGGAGCCCACCTGCTCCTCCATCCGCGAGCCCTACAAAGATCCGCCCCTGTCTCTCGGACGCAGGTGGCCCCACGGTGTCGGAAGTTCGCCGGGTGCACAGAAAGGTGGAACTGAAGAGTCCCCAGCGCCTGAGCCTGCCTGAAGCGGCTAAGACTCTGTCAAGAGCTAGAGAAGGAATTCGACAAAGGACTGCCGGGTAGGGGTTAGGGCGTCACTGGCTCCCGAGAGACTACCGCTCCCCAGCTCAGGAGCCGCCTTCGCGCCTCGATTCTGCCCAGCTGGAGGCAGAACCCGAACTCCAGCGAGGAGCCCTGGGTAGGGTTCCAGAAGACCGGGCCGAGGCTCAGCGCAGAGACTGACCCCGCCAGCCCAGAGCTCGCTACCAGGGCCCGCCTTAGCCCCAACCCTCGCTCCACCTGTCCCAGCTCGGGCGTCAGCCCGGCTCCAGGACTGACCTTCGCGGGAGAGTGCACCCCAAACGCAGCGCTTCACCCTACAGCACCAACTACAAAAAGTCTGCGAGGCACGCAAGACGCGCAGGCTGCCCTACCTGTCCGGCGACACACAGCAGGCACCAGGTACCACCGAGGAGGCGAGCCAGGAATCCCGGGCGCTGGGGCGCCACCAGCGGTGCCATGGTCCCCCAGTGGAGACCAAAGGGAGTCCCAGGCGAGCCCTCTCCGTGGGAGCGAGACCCGCGTCTTGTCCGGACTGCGGGGGCCTGGCGGCGGCTGGCGGGCAGGCTCCAGGCGTGCGCGCTCCGAGGCAGAGCTGCGCTGGGGCCAGCGGCGCGTCTTCTGAGCGGCCGCGAGACCCCGCTCCTTTGAATGGGAGCGCGTGCGCTGGGGGTGGGGGCGTTATTTGTGAATGTGCTGCTTGTCTTGGCTCGGGATGGTTGGCGCTCCCCCCGCACCAGCACCCCCTCCGGCTCCTGCTCCTCCCTGCTGTGTCAGCCCAGCGAAGGCGGGGAGCGAAGACACCCAGCCTCCCCGGCCGCGACCGCGGTGCGCGTTTCGGGAAACCCGAGCGGGCTGAGCGCTGCCTTCTATTTATTTAATTTTCTACAAGGCAGAGTCCCGCGCTGCCCTCCTTTGCGATGCCACCCTGCCGACGCTCGGAGAAGGGGAAAGTTCTCCCCGGACGCTTGGCGCTTTCCCGGGAACGAATCCTGAGGGCATTCCCTGCGCGCTTTCCCGGAGCTCGGAGCTCCGCGTACTGTCACTGTCCTGGGAGCCACGCAAGACCCTCCAGGGGCTGCTACGACTTCGCGCGTGTAGGGAAGGGGGTAATGATTAAAAAACGTACGACCCCATATAATGATACAGAACGGAACGTTATGATGCATTTGTCCGTGAGACTGTCTCCTGGGCATTCATAGAGATTCTCCCGTGGCGTTGATTTGTTTTGCAGACTCCATCAGGAAAAACAAGCTGCACTTCCGAGCGGCAGGAACCTATGACAGCTGCGTGGGGACGCGGTGAATGGAGAGCCCCCATCATGCACAACCAGCCCAAGGGATGGGTTCCAAGTGACTAACTTCCTTGCTTGTCTTCCTGTCCGATGGGTTCCCGAGGGCAAGCTAGGGCGCCCCCTTTTCTGGTCTGGGCCATGTTCTTACTGCGCTCGGGCATTTTCTGTAACAGCATAGGGCCTCGCTGCAGTTCTCTGCATTGGGACCCAGGTTCATTGCTTCCTGAATATCTGGGGCTTCCAAAGCATCTTTTTAAAGAAAGTAAAATCCCACACCCTCCTTCCAACTGTCTTCCAGAACTCTCCACCCCTCTGCACACTTGGCAGGAAAGCTGGAAGAGGCGGGGAGCTGGCCCCACTTCAATAAACTCCGAACGATAAGGGGATCAGCAAGGCGCACATGAAATCACTTTTGTGAGGTTCCCACGTGTGCGCATTGGGAGGATCCCAGCACAGAATGAAGGCGCCGCCATAGTAACCATTCATTTAGTGCACATATTCCTATGCTGAAACATTGTAGGCCCTCAGCACCTGAGAGGGACTCGGATCCTGCCCATGTTGACTGGGCAAACGAACCAGACACAAACTGCTGAGAATTACAGGCAAAGTCAGGGCAGAAGAACCTATAGGAAGCGAATGCTACAAACTCCAACATCAGTGTTTGTGTCCAGAATGGGTAAAAGAGACTGTTTCTCAGAAATCATGTATATACTCATATACATTATCTACTGAGTATCAAAGATCATAAGAAAAAATCAGAAGTGGAAAACAAAATCTACCTTTGAGCTTAGTATATCAAAGTTTAAAAGGTCAAAATATTTTAGAGATCCTTTTGTGAAGGAGTTTTGGGTTAGGTTTTCATTTTGAATTGGTAAAGAGGAAAGGGCAAGACATCTTGAAAAATGAACAAACTTACAAAAGAGAACAAAGACCCCAGAGGCTGGGAGCAGGCAAGTGTTCTGTGCTGCTAGGATGACTGAGCCACACGTTTACCAGAAAAGGTGGAAGCTGGGCTTGGTGGGAAGGTGGTCCCAACATGTCATGTGGTAGTCCTGGGCGCAGGTACCTGCAGCACCAGGCTGGAAGGAAAATGGTACGTGGGTGGCAAGCAGCAGTGCTAGGCAACCTTAAATTAAACCTTCAATCAACCCACAAGATAGGTGTAGATTATCCCAACTTGGCATACAAGACTCCTGAAGCTCAATAGCTGCACTGCTAGAATTGGAACCAGGCGCTGGAGCAACAGAATTTCAGGTCTGGAGGGAAGCTGTAGCCCAACTACATACTCCCAACCCCCATTCCCTCAGCAAATTTGGCTATCCAGTCCAAAAGCTACACCTTTATGTGTACATGGAGAATAAACTAAGGCCTAGGAAAATTAAGTGACATGTCCTATGTCTCTCTTAAGAGGCAGGTGAACGCCTTCCTACCTCATATAGTAGGGAAGAGTGAGTTGCTTCTGTTCCTTGAACAATGCAGTAACCAGAAAAAAAGTTAAAGCTAATTCATAGACAGCCAATTGAGTAGAAAGTCCAAAATGAGAGAGAACAGCTAATGGAGTTCCTGCCATACCCCAGCCATCCAATGATAAAGGCTCCATTCCAGGATTTTCTGACAGGTGGAGAACAAAGTGTTGGGAGAGCCTGGTAGAAGGCAGGCAGGCAGGCGTTGTTTGTTCTCATACAACATGAGACAATGACTCCCTCCTAACCACATCTCCACACCAGGGACCCAACTCCAGATCTCTTGGGCTGACACCAGACCCAAATGTTAGCTAATAGTCTGGTTTGTTGCTCATTGTTTGCTTTAAAATCAGTAAGCTTTTAAACTGTGCCTCATCGATTCATTCAAAGAATGACTGAATGAGAAGGAAGAAAGTATACTCATTATCCACTGAAGATCAAGTTTCCTTGATTCTGCATAAAATGCAGGGTGGATGCCTTAAAACAGATGTCTTCATCTACTTCATGGATTAATAACCTCATTGTGACACCAGGACAAAGAAATGTAACATTACTCTGGTCCTGGAATCTGCACGATGGCTCCACTGATGGCCCTTTGCCTCAGCCCAGTCCCAATCTTGCCAGAGCCTCTGCACTAGACTGCCAGCCCTACCATCTGAGATTGGCAACACAATAATGTTTTGACCACCTCAAGCCAGACCCCTTACAGAATGATTCTTTTCTTTAAAAAAAAAAAAAAACTATTTGTTTATCTATTTGAAAGGCAGAGTTTCAGACAGAGAGAGGGAGAGACAGAGAGAGAGGTCTTCCATCCGCTGGTTCACTCCCCAAAAGGCTGCAATGGCCAGAGCTATGCCGGTCCAAAGCCAGGAGCCAGGAGCTTCTTCTGGGTCTCCCACACAGGTGCAGGGCCCAAGGACTTGGGCCATCTTCGACTGCATTCCCAGACCATAGCAGAGAGCTAGATCAGAAATGCAGCATCCAGGACTGCAAGCAGTGGCCTACCCGCTATGCCACAGCACCGGCTCCTAAAGCATTGTTGTATTGGGACATGACAGTACAAGATTCTCCCTGTTGACCTCAGTATCCATTCTTCTCCATTATGGCTCAGGCTTTTCCTCAGTCTGTTTTTTCTTCACTTTTCTCCCTATTCCTTTTTATTCACCATCCTTTTCTTTTTCTCATGTCTACCACTAGGCAATAACACTTTTTCAATACCCTAACCTCCCTTGCCCTTTGGTCTTTTCTTCAAAATGAACACAGTTGCCTTCTTTTTCATTACCTATCCTATGGAGCCAAAACTGCAAGGGAAAGCCACAAAACAGGACAGATAAGTACCACCACAATATTTTCTTCACCAGCCTCAAGTGGATTCTAACATTGCCCATCAGTCTACCTGTTTCTGGGGTCAATTCATGCTCATACCATCCCACCCTATGCAATGAGGATTTCAAGCCTTCTCCACTTTCCCCATACCTCCATTCCTGCTATCTTTCAACAGACAGGCAAAGCTCTAGATTTCTTAGAAAGTCAAATCAGTCAAATGGGAATAATTTCTATTTTTACTTTTTATGACCCAGTCTAGTCATATCTACAACAATCACTGACCCCCTTTTTATTTGCTTTATAAGATGAGTCCTTCTATAGTTTTCTGGATCTAATACTTTCTTGAATTCAACTAGGAAAGAAATTTACAATAATTTTTCTCTGTGCTGTAGATTCAATATTTACTGATAAGCTATATCTGACAGTGCTCAAGCCTCTCATGCATAAATAAACAGAGATCACCTTTCTTCAATGACTCCACAGCTTCTTCTCTTGTCAATCACATTTCTTGAAGGTTGTAATTATACTCCTTACTGCCTTCCTCTTTTCCTGTATAATTCTCTGTTCATTTCAGTCATGATTCAGTCACTATCACTCTACAAAAATAGAACTTGTTCTAGTCACCAAGCACCTCCATGTTGTCACATTCAACACACATGAAAATGAATTGATCAGTCCTCTTCTTTGTCCTCACAAACTCACTTGGCATGGTTGATAGTTCCTACCTTTTTGAAACTTGATTCTCTCTTGGATGTTCACCACACATTGCCATGATAATTTTAGAAACAGGAATTCACATCGTTTTTATTTACTAATTTATTTGAAAGGCAGAGTTACAGAGAGGGAGTGGTGAGAGAGAGAGAGAGAGAGAGAGAGAGAGAGAGAATCTTGCATGCACTGGTTCACTCTCCAAATGGCCACAATGGCCAGAGGTGGGCCAAGCTGAAGCCAGTAGCCTAGAACTCCATCTGGGTCTCCTACATGGGTGGCAGGAGCACAAGCACTTGGGCCATCTTCTGCTATTTTCCTAGGCACATTAGCAGGGAGTGGGATCAGAAGTGGAGCAGCCAGGGCTCAAAGCCAGACCCAAATGAGATGCTGGGGTTGCAGGGCACAGCTTAACTATGCCCCAATGCTGGTTCAAGAAACAGGGCTTTTGAAGGTGCTGTCCCTTTCCTTCCTGACACCCTTATCCAATTAACCCATTAAAGAGTTCCTCCCTTATTTGGATTGATTTTCTTATTTCTATGCACTGATATATCTGTATCCTTTTCCTCCTCAAAATTTACCCTATTTATTATTTTATGTGGTATATATTATTATTATATTTATTAATATGATTACTTTAAATATATCCTTCTCTTATCCCAATAGGCCATACATTCTAAAAGAGAAGTTCAGCATTGTGGTACCAATGTCTACCTGGTCCAAATGTCTATCATGTTTGCTAAAACTCAAAACTAGTTAATAAATGGATGAGTTAGTGGGCTGACCTGGAATCCTTACCATTAAATAAGATACAAGCAACCTCTTCTTGAAGACAGGCATTATAACTATTGACCTTTATCCTAGTACCTCTCTCAGTCCTAGGAATACACTAGGTACTTAGAAAAATGACTGACTATACAAATGGACAGAATCTACTAATAGATTGGATGATTACCTAACCATGGCTACAAAGCAAACTCCCATAGAAATCTATAGACCTATATCTGAGATTATTTCAAAAAGTTCATGTAAAATGGGAATAAAAAATAAGATATTTCAGTGCAAAACAATTTTGAAATAAATGCAAAGAAGGAGTTATCAAAAGGTTCATGAAAATGTATATATTGACAAAAACTATGAATGGATTTCAATTTGGAGGGCACCAAAATAAACATTAGCTCCATTTTCTATAGACTTTTTGAAGTGCCTAAATATAGTTCTTTGAAGACATAGTAAAACATACCAGAAACCTTCCTTCTAAAAAACATATAATTAAGTTTGGGATAAAGCCAATGATGCTCCCCAATAAATGTCCTCCATAAGGACAAAATAAGAAAATGATATAAATCATATCCACAGAAAGCTCACTACAATACAAATTATTATTTATACACAATGCAAATCATGCTACTTATTTCCTAAGCAACATTCCACTTTTCAGTTCATAATACTTGCAAGAAGGGTGGGGGAGGCACATATTCTGTTACTCAGAGTTAAGATTTATCTAAAATACTTATAATGAGTATATCATGTTTATTATAAAAATGTTTAGCATAAAGGAATTTTCTGATAACTGACTCAAATCCTGTTTCATTCCCCTCTTGGTCTTTAGCTCGCGGAAATGTCCTTCTTGTCAGCCTTTATTTGCATCAGTAGACAAGCGAAACACAGCACAAAGCTGCCCAGTCAAGTAAAATGTTCACTTTTGACAATTTGAATGTCACACACTTTGTTCAAAGAAAACATACATACCTGAATCATACAGTTCAAAGTCTCCCCAACTGAAGCTGTTTGAACAGTATCCCAGTCCACAGAGACATGTGGCTTCAACTATTACAAACTGCTAAATTATGTGCATAATAAAAAATGATAGGAAACATAAAGTAGTATGTTTATATCTGACAGAAATGACTCAAAACCATATTTTAAGAAAGTAAACACTGGAAACCAGCAGTGTTACTTACTCTCTGCCCCAATTTAATCTCTGCTCTAATTCTTTCATATGAACATACTGATTTCTTTACCTTTAGCTACCAGATTTCAGGATTTTAAAATTATAATCATAAAGATTAGCTGATATTGGTTAAATGTAGTTGTATGAATTAACATTCAGAGCAAAATATTTCAAAGTGTGTGTTCTTCCTTCCTGGGAAAAAGAGTGTCTCCTGAGGGTTATAACTTATCAGCAGACTTATCTTTCCATTCTATAGCTCTGAGGTTCTGAGGAGTGTTTGAGCTTACAGTGATTTCCTGGCATCCATCTAACGACATTCATGATAGTGTGTTAGTAATGCGCATACTTAATCTCTTGATGTTGGCTTGCAGGAGTCTCAAATATAAAATGTGACAGCATTTGTTTTTCTTACCACATAAAAAATGACATCACAAACTGTTAAGAGGTTAAACCATATATTATGGCTTCATTTCAGAGTCACTTGTTGCGTCATACGACTGCCCACCAGGGACTGAAGCTAACACACTTCACATTCCTGAGCCTAATAACATATATATGCGCCTCTGGGTGAGGCCTACTGGGTGCGGTTTTATCACACAGAAAATCTTATATAATAATAACCTTTTCAAAGAATTGTCATTCTCCTTCCATATGTTGAAGGATTTGTCCAAATAACACAGCAAAGGACAACAGAGAAGAAAGAAATCAAATAAAGAAAGCAAAAAATTACATTTAGGAACACTTATTAATTCTTTTCAGCTTCTCTGGAGACCTCAGAAACTATTTACCTGAACTTGGCAACAACTTTTCATAATTCAGCAACAATATTCAGTTTCCATTTTCTGTTAGCCATTATGAAAGCATGTAAAATCAAAGATATGATCCCTGTTCTTTCAAAATGCACAATTAACTTTCATGCAATACATTTATGTAAGAAATTTATGTCTCCAAGATATTTGTTCTCTATGATTTTATAAGCCCTTTGAGGGCCCTGTATTCTATTGCACTCATTTTTGTAGCCTCAATACTTACCACACAGTGGGCACTCAATAATGTTTGATGAACTGAACTGAACGTTTCTTGTAACGCAAAACACATTGGCAAACACTGTGAGGAGTAAATACTGAGCCTGTATGTACACCAAGCTTCCTAAAGCAGATGCGACAATATTCCTGCAATCAGAATCCTTACCTCTCTGATGTGTTGATACAGCTGGTTCTAAATATTATGTACAAGACATTAGTGGTTTGGTAAGTAGGTCTCAGTCAGCTAACTCAACATTTTATTGCGGGGTTTTCTTCCCAGATGATGCTTCCTGTGTTCTGGTATTGTGTGGATGCTGGGTTTCGTTACAACATCAGCCTGTGCAGCTCCTCAGCATACCTAGAAAGCTGGTGCATAAAGTACATTTATTCCACAATCAAGCATCTGATGCTCCTCGACTGGGTAGCCAAGACTCCAAAATAAAGCTCAAGAGCTGGATTTATTTTCTTGTTATTTTTTAAAAGATTTATTTATTTATTTGGGAGGCAAAGTTACAGAGAGCAAAGACTTCCATCCTCTGGTTCACTCTCCAAATGGCCACAATGGCCAGAGCTGGGCCAGTCCCAAGCCAGGAGCCAGGAACTTCTTCTAGTTCTCCCCTGTGGGTGCAGGGGTCTAAGGACCTGGGCCATCCTCTACTGCTTTCCCAGGCCATAAGCAGAGACCTGGATTGCAAGATGAGCAGCCAGGACATGAACTGGCACCCAAATGGGATGCTGGCACTGCTGACAGTGGCTTTACCAGCTACGCCACAGCACCGGCCCTAGGAGATGGAATTCTATGTCTCACAAAAATCACTATGGAAATACACCAAAAAAGCACATTATGCTGCTTATTTCCTAAGCAACATCTGACTTTTCAGTTCACATCTGTGACTACGGAGAGCTTCTGCTTATTAAACTCACCTATCTTTTATTTGAAATCACTATCTGAACAAAAAAAAACAACCCTCTTTTTGAACTAAATTATCATCCACTTCCCTAGAGGCATCTATAGAAGCTGTGGATAGCTTATACCTCTGATTGGTTCTTTCTGAAAGAAATATCAGTTTGTTTATGTGGATACAATCCCCTAAGATTTTGCTAGAAAAATTGGAACTTCATTACTGGGTCTCTGGATAGCACTGGAAAATCATACAATGAAAATAAACACAGGGGAGCACAGAATTTATGTACTTGGTTTGCTTCTCACAAAACACTTAGTATAATAATTCCTCATAGAATAAGAATTAAAATAATTTGAGGCAGTGTTTTGATACAGTGGGTTTAGATGCTACTTGCAACACTGGCAACCTATATCAGAGTGCTGGTTTGAATCTCAATTGCTCCATCTCCAATCCAGATTCCTGCTAAGGTACCTGGGAAGGCAACATAAGACATCTCACGTACTTGAGCCCTTGAAACACACTGAGGGACCAGGATGGAGTTCCTGGCTCCTGAAATTGGTCTGGTATATCCTGGGCTATTGAAATCATTTGGGGAATGAACTAGCTGGTAGAAGATATTTCTCTCTCTCCCTACCACCCACCATCCTGCCCTTCAAATAAATATATATATTTTTTAATTTGTGGGAGCAGATGTTGTGGTGCAGTAGGTTAAACCTTAGCTTGGGACACTCTCATTCTACATCAGAGTTTCTTGGATTAAGTCCTGCTTCAGCTTCCGATCCAGATTTCTGCTAATGCATCTTGGAGACAGCAGATCATGATCCAAGTACTTGGGTTCCTGCCACCTATATGGGAGACCCATATGGAGTTTCTGA